GCAATAAGAGGTGACCAGGCCGGTGGGGGGCGGCAGTTAGGAGTGACCAGGCCGGCATGCAGAGACAGTGAGGGGCGATCAGGCCAGCAGGAGGCAGTTAGGGGCGACCAGGCAGGCAGGTGAGTGATTAGGAGCCCACAGTTCAGGATTGTGAGAGGGATGTCCAACTGCTGGTATAGGGATCAGGGATCAGGCCTAAACCGGCAGTCAGACATCCCCCAAGGGGTCCCGGATTGGAGAGGGTGCAGGCTGGGCTGAGGGGACCCCTGCCAGTGCACGAATTTCATGCACTGGGCCTCTAGTTATTATAGAAAAGGCAATGAACTGGGAGATGCTGCCAAGTGAAAAACGGAAGACAAACTGTTGTCTTCACAGGGAAATTTTATTTTCTTCAATCTCACTCCCAGTCGGTCTGTGACTTGGCCAATGACGACAGGAATGAAAGGGACATAAGTGTCTCTGCTCTAGAGAGAAGAGAAACAGAGACAAGACCACCATATGCGGAGGTGGGGAAGAGGGAAGCCGCAGGGCTCCGCCTTGGAGGGTCTTGTCCTAAGGGATGAGGTGGCCATGTGCTGGGCAGGAGACTGTGGGACAGATGGAGACCAGAGGAGGATGCGCTGTCAGGGAGAGCCACGGGAAGGCTTTCTCTCAGGGCAACATCTAGAGGACAGGAAGTTGTAGAGCCACAGTGAGGACCAAGCTGTTATCCAATGGCACCAGAATGCACTGAGAGTCCTCACTGGAGAAGGCCAGTGGCCAGGAGGGAGTGGGGATGGACACGGCAGGGGATGATGCTGGTTCCAGCATGTGATATTGACCTCAGTGTGCTGATAACGTGAACTCTTGGATGTTACTGCTGACGAATTGCATCTCATTGTGTGTGTGTGTGTGTGTGTGTGTGTGTGTGTGTGTGTGTGTGAAGTTGATTAGACAATTCCGCCTTATTTTTAGCAACCTCAAACCATCCTCTTTCTGCCTCTTTCTGCCTCCAGCACTTTCTCTATTGGCGCACATGGGGGAGGGTAATAGATGGGGGGCTCAGTGCCTGGCCAGTGGTGGGGAGTGGCTGGATAAGTGGATAGTAAAATCAGTTATTTGAATGAAGGTGATCTGGCTGGAATTCAGTTCAGAAAAATTAGACTCTCTTTTTAGAATAACTGGTTGTTACTTCTGCTATTAGATTATTACTTTTGGATTACATTCCCTGCAGGCATTTTGGCCCCTTTAATTTTTTGAGTTATGCTGATCTCCTGTAAATTGATCTTGTACAGCTGGACCTGTTATGCACAGTATTGTCTTAATCCCAGGTACAGGGCTAGGAGGACAAAGGAGGCCTTTTGTTAACAGGAATGCCCAGTTTGAAGGGGTGTAAGTGGAGTGCTTACCTCTTCAGTCCACAGGAGCCATATTATAGTAAGTCCTCGAGCCACAAAAGTGCCTCCCTGGAGATGTGCACGGACCTGTGTGGTGGCTGCCACTGGCACTGTGCCCCAGACTTGTCTAAAGAATGGGAACAGTGGTGTTAAACACTAAATGTCAAAAACAGTGTTCTCTTGGATAATATTGGGGATTCTGCTTTAAGCAGGTAGTTTGTCTCAAGACCTAATGCCAGATTTGTGTTATTCCCTAAGAAGTAGTGAGTTGTGGATTTTTGAGAGTGTGTGTGTGTGTGTGTATATATATATAATATATACATATTATAATATATAATATATACATATATATAAAATGTTTAATAGGAGAATTACTTGCTTTAAAAAAAAGTCAGGGACACAATAATTAGAGAAATGTGAGTGTACTATCTCACTTTAGGTAAGTCGTTGCTATAAAATATTGCATATAAAATTCTCAGGAAACTTCCAGAGAAATTGAAAACATATCTTTGTATTGATCAAAGTGATTGTCTTCAATGGCCATCACAGGAAGGAAATGGCCATCATTTTCTAGATGTGCTGTGCACTGTCTCTTCCTTTGGAAAAATAAATAAAACCCTCCTGTGATGCTTCGCTTTCTCACCGGCTGCTGCCCTGCTCCCTCCTTCCCTCTCTCCTCTCCACCAGCCACTGACATCCCAGTTCCAGTCCTTGCTTGGAATTCTGCCCCTTTCATTCCTCTGAAGTCAGTCCTTGGAGTCACCAGTCCCCTCCAGACGCTTCTAGGTCCTCCTCTCACGTGACCGCGCCACGATTCTTGAGACACTTTCTTCTCTTGAATTCTTCTTCTGTTACCCTCCCCTCCGTTTCCTGTTCACCCCTCTGTCCTGCCTCAAAACCATTGCGGCCTCCCATGCTCAGACCCCACTTTATTGCCTCCCCTTGTTATGCACCTACCTGTGTATCTCCCCTCCCCCTACATTCACATTTTGTCCTAATCCCAGGACCTCAGAAAATAGATCTTATTTGGAAATCGGGGTTTTTCAGCAGTAAGTAGTGAAAGTGAGGTCACATGCAGACTGGAGTAGGCTGGATCCCTAATCCAGTACGAGTGGCGTCCTTATAGAAAGGGGAGATTTGGACACAGACACACACGTGTGAACCTGAAGGCAGAGATCGGGTGCTACTTCTACAAGCCAAGGAACCCCTAAGATGGCCAGCCGGCCAGCAGCAACTCAGGGAGAGGCCTGGAATAGATTCCCCTCACAGTCCCCAGAAAGAACCAACCCTGCCCACACCTTGATCTCAGACTTTCAGCCTCCAGAATCATTAGACGATAAATTCTGTTGTTTAAACTACCCAGTTTGTGGTACTTTGTTAAGGCAGCCCTAGCAAGCTAATACACTCCTGTTTTGGTCTAGGGACCCCTTTATACTCTTAAAAATTATTGAGACACCCCACTCCCAAAGAACTTTGGTTTATGTGGAGTCTACCTACCAGTATTTACCACACTAGAAATTAAAAGTCAGAAAATTTAAAAATATATATTAGCTCATTTAAAATATTACTAAGCCAATTATATATTGATATAAATACATATTTTTATGAAAATAACTTTATTTCCTAAAATAAACAACAATTTAGTAAGAAGAGCGACATTATTTTATTCTGCAGATCTCTTTAATGTCTGACTTGGATTTCCTGCTGATTGTCTTTGCATACCTACTTTTGCTTTCCATCTGTTGCTATATGGTATTTTTGTTGAGTATAAGAAGAAAATCTGGCCTCACGTAGGTATGTAGTTTTAACAAGGGGAAAATGTTTTACTAGCTTTTTCAGATGGTTGTATATATTTTTCTTTGATACCACACCAGAAATTAACAAGTAGTAATTTTTAAAAACATAGTTGCAATGTGGAATCTAAAACCAAATCAGTGACCTTTTCATTTAAATCCTTTGGCTGGTCATGTGCTCTTTTAATGAATCACTTGCCCATCATGCATAGGTCATTTGGAAAATATTAGTTCATTGAGTTATGCAGATCTTCCCAATGTTGTCACATTTCCTTATACAACACATTCTAAAAATCACATTGATAAATATATGAGACAACAACAACAAAAACAAAAAATGAGACAAACCCAGAGACGTTTCTTGACCCTGAGGTCCTTGGAAGTTCTGTCTTCTCTCCACCTTTTAGATTTAATAAATGTTCTACGTAAAATGTTTAGGGTTTTTAGTGTTTCTTCTTGGGAAGAAAAAGGATTTGTACTCCATCTTTCCAGAAGCAGAAGTCAAAGTAAATTTTTAATTAATCCTCACCTGAGGATATTTTTCCATTGATTTTTAGAGAGAGTGGAAAGGAGGGGGAGAGACAGAGAGAAACATTGATGTGAGAGAAACACATTGATTGGTTGCCTCCTGCATGTGCCCGACCAGGACTGGGGATCAAGCTGCAACTGGTACGTGCCCTTGACCAGATTGAACATGGGACCCTTCAGGCCAGGGGCTGACACTCTATCTACTGAGCCAAACCTGCCAGGGCCAAAATAATTTTAAAAAGTGAATCAAGCAATGTCACTCCCCTGCCTCAAATTTAACCAGGGCTTCCCAGTGCTATTAGAATAAAATCCAAGTCTCTTACTGGCCCATCAGGACCTCACATGGCTTGGCCCCGCCTATTCTGACACACCTTACACCACCTCCCCGACCCTCACATGCCGCAGGTACATTGGCCTCCTCTCTGCTTGTTGAGCAGGTTGCTTCTCATGTCATGAGACAGTATCCTGCAGTGGTTGTAAGCAAGGACTCTGTTGTCAGAGGCACTGTTGTCAGAGGCACTGTTGTAGGTGACTGTGTGACCTTGGGCAAGTCCCTAGCCTCTTTGTGCCTCTGTTTCCTCATGTGTAACATGAGATTGAGAATACCACCAACCTCATACAGTTGTTGAGAAGATTAAATGGGTTAATACATGTAAAGTCCTTAAATGTATTCTGGAGTCCAGCACACGGGAGACGCTCCACAGATATATGAGCTAAAGCGACGGTGTCACTCCCCTGCTTTTGCTTTGCTGTTCCTGCTGCCTGGAATACCCTTCCCATGGCTTCTTTTTCACAAGACAGGCTCATTGTAATCCTCTGAGCCTCAGTTCAAATGCTACCTCTGAGAGAGGCCTTCCCTGACCACTTATCTAAAGTAGCTTCCATTTCTCTAAAGCCTATCTTTCTACCATGGCATTTTTTATGACCTGCAGTATCTGGCTAAGCGATTCCTTGTTTACTGTTGTCTCCTTCCAATGTGGCTGGGCATGTGAGGGGCAGAGAGGTGGTGTGAGGTGTGTCAGAATAGGGAGACATAAGCTTCATGAGGGAGGGAGGCCTTGTCTCTCTTTACTGCCTTGTCCTCAGAGCCCAGACAGTGGCACAGGCTCTCAGTACATTTTGAACAGATGAAAGAATTCAGGTTGTTTACAGTTACACACTTATTGCAAACAGTGCTACAGCAGACATTATTGGAGTTAAATTTTGGTTTACATTCTTAACATGTTTTTATTTTTTTAGGATGAACTTTCTCCAGTGGAAATGCAAATTGCCTTTCAGAGAGATGTGCTCATTTATAGTCCTGCCAGGGTCCCTGGAGTGTGCTGGCCGTTTGCACCTTCAACTTGGGGCTTTAAAAGAGAAAAAAGCAAACTTTAACCTCTCCTGCCCAGCCGTGTAGCTCAGTGGGTGAGCATCGACCCACTGAGGAGGCCATGGGTTTGATTCCTGGTCAGGGCACATGCACAATTTGTGGGCTCGATCCCCAGTAGGGGGCATGCAGGAGGCAGTTGATGGATGATTCTCATCATTGATGTTTCTATCTCTCTCTCCCTCTCCCTTCCTCTCTCTGAAATAAAAAAAAACATACATATTTTTTAAAAAGACCCTTGAGCCCTGACAGGTTTGGCTTGGATAGAGCGTCGGCCTGCGGACTGAAGGGGCCCTCCAGGTTCAATTCCGGTTGGGGCACATGCTCGGGTTGCAGGCTCATCCCCAATAGGGGGCATGCAGGAGGCAGCCAATTGGTGATTCTCTCTCATCATTGATGTCTCTCTCTCTCTCTCTCTCTCTCTCTCTCTCTCTCTCTCTCTCTTCCTCTCTGAAATCAATAAAAATATATTTAATAAAAAAGACCCTTGATTTAAAAAGAAATAACCTCTCCTTTATGCTTCCTCCCTCTAAACAAATATCTAAGATCTTATATATTTTGCGGTAAGGACACTGAGGCTTGGTGGTTAAGTAGCTTCACCAAGGTCACCTGTGGTAAACAGCAGAGTTGGGATCCTGACTCAGCAGTTTGGCTCTGGATTCTGCTCTTGACTGTCAAGATGTACTTTTTCTCTGTATGTTCCTCAGTGACTCCTGGGCACGGGACATTGGAGAACTAATGCGCCCAGGCTGAAGGAAGACACAGCAAACCCCAGCGGGGTGAGGAGCTGCGAGAGAGGTGGGCAGGGGGAGGGTCAAGAAGCGGGGGACACTAGTTGGGGCGGGGGCTCCTGCCTCCGGAGCTCATCTGCCGTTGTGTTTCCTTCTGCAGTTCCCAGTTCTAATCTCCCTCCCGGCTCTGCATCCTGAGTTCAGTCTCTGGAACTTTGCCCAGGTGAGTGTGAACTCTTGAGTGGATCTGCTCGGAGGGGATGGGTGGGTGCCAACAAGCTCTGCTGCTTCTTTTTTTTTAATTGATTTTTTTTCTTTGAGAGAGAGAGGGATATGAACACCTGTTTGTTGTTCTACTTGTTATGCATTCATTGGTTGATGCATTTATTGGTTGATTCTTGTATGTGCCCTGACTGGGGATGGAACCGCAATCATGGTATAAGGGGACGATGCTCTAACCAATTGAACTGTCCAGCCAGGGCAAGATCTGTTTCTTAAGAAACCCAAGCAGGACTTTTCCTGAAGGTGTGATTACAGGCCACCCGCTCCCTCAGAGGTCCCGGCTTCCACTGCCCCAGGTTCAAAATCCTGTGTCTGAGCTAACGGTTCCCAAAATGCCTGCACCCTGCTCTTCCCTCCTGCCTCTAGGCTCAAGTTTGATTTCTCACCCTGTGTTTCCAAAGCAATGGTTCTAATTTGTTCACACATAAGGATCACTTCAGGGGCTCATTGAAAAGGCAAATCTCAGATAAGCTGGGAAATTTGAACACCGACAGATATTTGATATTAAGGACTTATTGTAGAATTTAGGCGTGACCCTGGTATTATATATAGAGTTGTCCCTTGAGCAACATGGGCTTGAACTACATGGGTTCATTTATACATAGACTTTTTTCAGTAAATGTGTACAGTACTGTAAATGTATTTTCCCTTCCTTATGATTTTTTCCTGAGGATATTTTTTCCATTGATTTCTAGGAAGAGTGGAAGGGAGATAGGAGGGGGAGAGAGAGAGAGAGAAACATCAATGTGAGAGAGGCACATTGATTGGTTGCCTCCTGCATGCACCCCTGTTGGGGCTGGGGAACCTGCAACCAAGGCACCTGTCCTTGACTGGAATCGAACACTCGACCCTTCAGTCCGTGGGCCGACACTCTAACCACTGAGCCAAAGAGGCTAGGGCTGATTTTCTTTTTCTTTTTTTAAAATTATTTATTGATTTTAACCCTAGTTGGTTTGGCTCAGTGGATAGAGTGTTGGCCTGCAGATCAAAGGGACCCGGGTTCAATTCCAGTCAAGGGCACATATCTCTGGTCAGGTCTCGTGCAGGAGGCAACCAATCGATACGTCTCTCTCATATCGATGTTTCTCTCTATCTTTCCCTCTCTCGCACTCTCCCTCAAAATCAATGGAAAAATATCCTCAGGTGAGGATTAGCAACAACAACAAAAATTATTTATTGGTTTTAGAGAGAGGAAATAACATTTTCTTTCTTTTTTTTTTTTTTACATAATGAAAGGTATATTTATTTTCTTTTACATTCAGTATTATTTTGTATTAGTTTCAGGTGTACAGCATAGCAGTTAGATAAAACATTTTCTTTTCTCTAGCTTATTTTAGTGTAAGATTATAATGTATGATACATATAATACAAAATATGTGTTAATCAACTGTTTGTGTTATTGGTAAGGCTTCAGGTCAATAATTCTGGGGGAGTCTAAAATTATATGCCAATTGTCAATTGCAGGGTAGGGGGAGGGGAAGAACAGAGGGGTTAGCACCCTAACCCCTGAGTTGTGTGTGTCTAAGCACATACATAAGTGAATTAATCCTTATCTTTTAGAGATACATACTAAAATATTTTGAAAGAAATAATATGATGTATGGGATTTGCCTTAAAATAATCTGAGACAGGTAGAAGCATATAGAGGATATAAAATTGAACAATTATTGATGCTAATTGGTCTGTACATGGGGTTCCTCATACTGTTCCCTGTACTTTTGCAGATGCTTTAATTTCTCCATAATAAAACATAAAAAAAAATGCCCCCAAACTAAAAAGCACCCCTCAGTCTGGACTACGCTTTGCAGGTACCCCAGGTGGGTGCATGTGGGGATCTGTCCACCCCACCTGGAGAAACTGCTCTGCAAAGCGGGGTAATGTGAACTCAGGTGGTCCAATCCCTCGACCAGAAGAAGTGCATCAAATTGGCTCACTCGTCTGCTCTTTACCCGTCCACCAAACAAAAGAGAAAGACATGATCTTCCCGTGTGACCCTGCTCTTTTCACCTGGGTCACGTGGACACAGAATTGTAGCCATGGGGTATTTGTAAAGATTTGTCTGTCTATGCTCCTTTCAAAGTAAAGTGTTTTGGAAAATAACTGTCGATAGGATGATGAGTGTGATTTTTTTTCTTTTCCAAATTATTTTTTTAAATGCATTTTTATTGTTGAAAATGTTACATAGGTCCCCCTTTCCCCCAAACTACTTTTTGTTATTTCATTGTTACCATGAAAAGGAGTGCTTGGTGTGCTTAGTCCACACATTGGACTGTCCCAGGGCCCTCCTGAGGCCACAAGAACCCTCTTCCCAAACCCTGTACTCACTGTGGGGGAAAGGGTGCATCACTTTCCTGTAGAGAAGACAGTCACTGCTTCCGGGTCAACAGAGGACACAGGTGGGGGGAGGGAGCCCAGGGGCAGGTTTGTCCTCACCCAGGGCGGTGTTGATATAACAAGAACTGCCTCAGGGCGCTGCGGGAGTCTGGGAAGGAGAATCACCAAGTCACTCCCTGTGCCTCTGCAGGGAGGCCACCTGTGGATTCCCCAGCCAGCGCGGCCCAGCGGCCCTGCAGCTGAAGCTCCTGCTCAGGGGTCGGTGAAGGAAAGAAGTACCGGAGAGCTATACCCCCGCCAGCTCCAGCCCCGGTCCAGGACCCGCTCGGAAGAAGCTGGGGTAAGAGCTGTGCTTTTTGGTCTGCACGAAGCCAGTGTCTTCTCTTTCTATAAAAACATTGCTGTATTTATCAGAAAGGGCAGTATGAAAAGTTGATTCATTTTGGTGTCCAAAGGCAAAAATAGGGGAGCAGACTATGCCTTCTGGAGGGAGGGGAGATGTTTAGCTTCTAGTCAATAAATAGGGAAACATGTCTTGAGCACCAGCTTTATGGTTGAGCTAGACTGGTGAGAGTGAAAAACATACAAATTTCTACCCTTGTGGATCTTTCTGGCGATTGGACAATACAGACAGTACAAGTAACTAGAGGATTGGTATTCTGGGGGCATATAGGAGGGGGCTTAGCTCACAGGGGTGTTGGTGGTGGTCAGGAAAGGCGTATGGAAGAAGCGGTTCCTTACACTGAGTCGAGAGGAGTGACAGGGTGAGCTGGGATGCAGGGGATATGGGATGGGAGGAAAGGGTTGAGTTTCTAAATCCAGGGAGAAGCATAGACAAAGGTCCTGAGGTAGGAGGGGGCTGGGGGAGAAAGTCCATGTGTCTGCAGAGCAGTGTGAGGAGCAGTGAAGCCAGAGGGGAGGCAGAGGCCAGGTTATGCTCCCTTTGTAGGCCAGGTCAAGGGAGTTAGACTTTCTCCTGCGGGAAAATGGAACAATGGAAGGATTCGAACAGGAAGGATAGACTCAGTGTCTCCAAACAGTAGATACTCCACATGTTACAAAATGACGTGAGGAAAAGGGGCTGACTCTGGCCGTGAGACAGTTCTTCCAGAAGGTTGGACTTTGGGGAAAACAATGTGGTTTGGCAGCAGTAGGGCAGTCTAGAGGGTCTTTGATGGAAATACAGTCTAGATAAATATCCTTATTCCATAGAGAGAACATACAGATTTATTTCATTTCTACTGACTATACAGGGTTCTGCTGTATCAGTGTAATCATCTCCCAGTTGATGGATATCTAGGTTAGATCCATTGATTATAATTATTATATACAATGTTATTAAAACTTCCTTGTGGAAATCTTGGGTCATGAATGTGGGGAATATAAAATTTTTAATTGAATTTATTGGTGTGACATTGGTTAATAAAATTGTATTGGTTTCAGGTGTATAATTTTATAATACATCATCTATATATTGTACTGTGTGTGCATCACCCCAATTTCTAGTTTTTAAATCAGGAGTCGTTCCTGTTGGATTTTTTCCCCTGTGGGTTTCATTTAGCTCAACAGAAAAGTTTTCATCATGAGGTTTTCACACATTTGCTACCTCCAGTATCTTTGTCTCCTGCAGACAAGGCTGGGTCAAGATGGCGTCTGTGTTTCGAAGTGAGGAGATGTGTTTGTCACAACTATTTCTCCAGGTAGAGGCGGCATATTGCTGTGTTGCAGAGCTTGGAGAGCTTGGATTGGTTCAGTTTAAAGATGTAAGTACTGCCCTAGCTGGTTTTGCTCAGTGGATAGAGTGTTGGCCTGCAGACTGAAGGGTCCCGGGTTCGATTCTGGTCAAGGGCACATGCCCAGGTTGCAGGCTCGATCCCAGTGCAGCAGGCAGCAGATCAATGATTTTCTCTCATCATTGATGTTTCTATCTCTTTCTCTCGCTCCCTCTCTGAAATCAATAAAAATTAAAACAACAATAACAATATAAACAAACAAACAAAAGATGTAAGTACTGCCGAAACCGGTTTGGCTCAGTGGATAGAGCATCGGCCTGTGAACTGAAGGGTCCCAGGTTCGATTCCAGTCAGGGGCATGTACCTGGGTTGCGGGCATATCCCCAGTAGGAGATGTGCAGGAGGCAGCTGATCGATGTTTCTCTCTCATCGGTGTTTCTAACTCTCTATCTCTCTCCCTTCCTCTCTGTAAAAAATTAATAAAATATATTAAAAAAAAAAGATGTAAGTACTGCATTCTTTTGAGGCCAGAGGAAGGTGGAGTGGGTGTTGACAACTCTTTCATGCCACTTCTTGGTACTGAACAAATTGTAGGAAGCAAAGCCCTGAGCTGGAATAGATGGCATTCCATGGTTTTAGTCCTCTGTCTAGGATTTGCGATAACATTGGGCAGGTGACTTGCTAACATGACCGCTCTTCTTCCACGTGTATTGTTTGACCTGAAAGTAATATAGACCAATGTACATTAAAAATAATAGACCATATCTCTTTCTCCCTCTTTTTATATTTTTTATTATTACAGTGTGTTTGGGCAGAAGGAATTCTCAACGTGTAAATTCACTTCAGCTTCCCTCTTTAGTGTTTTATTATTATTATTCTTATTTTTCTGTCCTGCAATTAACGTGGGGATGCAGGAATGTTTTGGAGCTCTAATGCAATCACTACATGGTAGATGCATCATGTTCTATTTTATGTGTAGCAACTTCAGAGCATTGGATATATCCAATTGCACGTGGATTACCAAACCTTGTTCTGAGGAGAATTCTTCCTGACTTGTCTGTCCCAGGACAAAGCATCCTGGAGTCTACAGTCTCCTAAAGTGACACTCCAGGACCACGGCCTGGAGTGCGATGTCGGGTATCAGTTCCAAGAGGCAGTTTAGATCCTCCTCAAGCCATTTTGAATCCAATTTAGAACACTGGTCTCTACTCTTCTTTACGTCCTCACCAAGGTCAAGATCAATACTAAGCTCCCGCATGGAAGGATTGGCTTGTTTGCGTCCCTAGTCCCTAGCACATGAGCCACTTCCTCACTAACGTGTTGTTTTTTTTGGCTGAGCTGAGGGTCACCAGCCCAAGGACTTGGAATTTTTTTGATGCCCACGATGCATCGTCTGGGGCTATGAGTTTTCAAGGTCCAATCATATTCATGACTCCATTGAGGGTTTGAAGGCTCATTTGGATAATTGTTTCTAAAGTAAGGAAACCTTAACTGTGGGAGGACTTCGCTTCTCTTAGAAGGGTAAGAGGCCAGAGCATGTGGGGACTGAGTGTAGGAACATCAGGGTGTGTTTTGCCTGTAATATCTGTCTTGTGTGTGGAAATACCTGTTTCTAAGACAATTTTAGTGACATTCTCCAGCATTTAAAAAATACAATAAAATAGCCAAAGAGAGTATGAAGGCATCTGTTGCTACTAATGTGTGCCATGTGGTGTTTTCCCTTTTCTAGTTAAATGTGGATGTGAACAGCTTCCAAAGGAAATTTGTGAATGAAGTCAGAAGGTGTGAGTCAATGGAGAGGATCCTCCGTAAGCCAATTTTCTGCCTACTATCTAGCTGAACTGGCGGGGAGGTAAATGGCGTGCAGGTCTTGATTAACAAACGTGTCCCTATTTGTAGTACTTTTCAAAGTGATCTGGAGGCAGGGTGGGGGAGGTTAGAGATTGGATCCAGGTGCTTCGGGCAGGTCCCGGGGCAATTCAGGTGACTGAGCTAGCCTAAAGCCACTGTCCTGCTTGATCCCATTTCTTAGATATGTGAATATATAATCACCTGGGGCTCTCTGTTGGGGTTTCTTCACTCAGGTTTTCTGGAAGATGAGATAAAGAATGAGATTGAGGTTCAGTGGCTGGAGAAGTCCCCACCGACCCCGCTCCCTCGGGAAATGATTTCTCTGGAGGTAGGTTCTCCCCTACTTGGCTGAGGACAGTCGGGAGCTCGGGGAGCCACTCGTGGATCCATTACCCAGTTGCTGAAGGCGTGTGGTGGGTATATGTGGTTTCCCACGTATCAGTGTTACTTCCCCAGGAAAATTCCACTGTGCCATTTTTAGAGTCATTGCTCCCTCTCCCAGAGCAGCCCCATGGAATCTCACCCCACTTTGGAGAACGGTTTCCTTCGAGGGCAAACGATTCTTCTAGGCAGCGAAGTCTTATCTATAGGGTGCCGCGGAACAGGCCTTCTGCTGCTTCCATGTCCTGGCCATTGAAAGCAATCCTGCAGTTTACGTGGGGATGCAGATATTTTTTTGAGATAATGACTTCATTTACTTTCAACCAATACCCAGAAGTGGAATTCCTCAATCCAGGGGGATATTTCCTCATTATCTAGTGGGAAGCATTGAGTTCAGTCTGGGCTGAGGCCTCTCAGACTGGCTTCTGAGATTGTGTGAGAGGATGGCAGTTTTCTTTAGTCTGGGATGTTATGTATGACTGGGGGGCCCTCCCTCTTTCTTCCCCCTCTGTCTGCTTCCTTTATAATCACCTGGCCTCCGTGGCTCAGTGGTTGAGCATTGACCTATGAACCAGGAGGTCATGGTTCAATTCCTGGTCAGGGCATATGCTGTATTCTCTCATCATAGATGTTTCTATCTCTCTCCCTCTCTTTTCCTCTCTCAAATTAATAAAGATATATATTTTAAAAAATAAGCCCTCCAGGAGCTTCTAGTGCAGATGGTGGAGGGGGAAGCAGGGGGAAGGTGGTGGGTAGATGTCAAAGGATGGCAGAGCCAGATCATGGAAGACCCTGTTGAGAAAATAAAAAATAAAAAATGCAGTTTTGAATCCTCAGAGGAAGGACTCACTAAGGGAGGCGGGCAGTAGGTTTCACGAGCTTATCTCTGGCTCAGTTTATCTTTATTTTCTTTGAAGATAACTTAAAAGCCGTGACATTTTTGTGATCCCCAGTAGTGTACATCTATGTACTCTAACAGAGATATGAGACTGGCAACTCCCCTAGAAAATATTTTAGATGTTGTCATTTTAAAATCTGGATATTTGGGGGGAAATAGCTTTTAACCAAAAAGCTATGAATCGGGTCTCCATAAAATCATCTCCAAATTCAGTGTTATCACTAGTCTCCTAAGACCAGCCCTGTTCGTTAACAGCTCCCCCGCCACCACCATCCCCTTCACCTTCCCTATCACCTAGACCTGTTCTTGGGAACTGTGAGATGGCATCCTGGCTGATGCTTTCGCCCCGATCTTGTGTCTGAGTTTTGGCAGAAGTTTGTCGTTTGGTGCGAGCTGTGTCGTCCTACAGCCTGATCTGCCTGCAGACAGCCCCCGAGACCGGACAGGACCTAGACGTCTTCCTGAGCCGTGTTCTCTTTGGATGCTCATTTTGGAAGGGAGATGGTCTTTTCTCTGTGTTTTTTTTTTGTCTTTTCATCTTCGGTGCCTATGCTTCTCTGTCCCCTTATTACGCCTGCTTATCCCTGGCTTTCTAGGCTCCAGCCCATACCTGGTATTTGTTGGTTGTTGTTGTTGGTGGGGGGGGGGGGGGGGTGACACTAGGTTTCTCTGTTTATATTTTGTTATTATTACAGTGTGTTTGGGCAGAAGGAATTCTCAACATGTAAATTCACTTCAGCTTCCCTTTTTAGTGTTTTATTATTCTTATTCTTATTTTTGGTTAATCCTCACCCGAGGATACTTTTCCAATGATTTTTGGAGAGAGTGGAAGGGAGAGGGAGAGACAGAGAGAGAGGAACGTCTATGTGAGAGAGACACATCGATTGGTTGCCTCCCACATGCGCCCTGACCAGGGTGAGGAATTGAGCCTGCAGCTGAGGTATGTGCCCTTGACTGGAATCGAACCCGGGACCCTTCAGTCCACGGACCAACACTCTATCCACTGAGCCAAACTGGCTAGGACCTCTCTTCAGTGTTTTAAATGGGGAAGAGACATGTAATTTGCCAAAATGCCTTGACTTCTCCATGAAGCTGCCTTTTCACTCCCCGGAGTGTTTTTTAATCCTCCCCACGATGACGGAACGCAAGAGTGTGTGACTGTGGCTCTGGCTTACAGCTCTACCATCACACAGAGTTAACGACAGCACAGGCCCCTTCAGGCTCCACTATGATGCCCTGAGTATTTGTTTTCTATTTACTTACCTGTGTGGTTAATGTACAGTCAATGTCATAGTACTTTCTGCCTGGACTACCGTTTTTCTCATTCCTTATAGACCGTTCTGGAAAAGCTCGAAGGAGAGTTACAGGAAGCCAACCAGAACCATCAGGCGTTGAAGAAAAGCTTCCTAGAACTGACTGAACTCAAGTATCTCCTGAAGAAAACCCAGGACTTTTTTGAGGTCATTATTTGGGGACTATTTAAAGCCCTCCTTGCCACCCCTCCCCCACACAGCCTCAAATTTCTATTTTGAAAGCTGGCTGGTTTGGAATATGAACAAAGCACCATTTCTGTCCCAAGGCTAGGCCACTGGTGAGCAGGGAGTGTTCTGGGTGCAATGGCTGTGGTGCTGGTTGAATTAAAGGGCAACATACTATGATGCTCATTAAAAAGTATGTGCCCCAAATGGCCAGGACAGAAGTGTCAGTCAGAACAGTTGGTTTGAGCAGATTTGGGATTTGGGTAGGAAGAGATTGGGGAAGCTTTTTGATGTGCCATGGAGCGCTCTACTTTTTGAATTCTGTTAACTATTTGTAGAAAATTAAAGCTTCCTTAGAAATAGAATAAACTTTGAGGCGTGGGGTGCTTTTAAGGTTATTTAAATACGTTTAAATGAAAATATTGATCATTTAACTTTCAGACGGAAACCAACTTACCTGATGATTTCTTTACTGAAGACACGTCTGGTCTCCTGGAGTTAAGAGCTATGCCTGCATACATGGCCGGAAAGCTGGGGTTAGTGTAACTCTGTCCTGGAAGTTATGTGGAAATGGGTCCTCCATTGGTCCTCAATGCCCAGCGTGTGATGGGGTTCCCCGAGTGTTTGAATGAGTGAATAGATGAATGAATGAACAAACAAATAGCCGCTGGAATGAGCCCAAAGAATGCAATGTTTGTATTGTCCCCACATAGAAAAGATGTGGGGATAATAATTTTTAACATTTTATTTATTTTTTAATCGATTTTGAGAGAGAGAAATATCTATTTTTTGTACCACATATTTATGCATTCATTGGTTGATTCTTTTTTTCCCCTAGAGAACAAATTTATTTATTTATTATTGTTTATAGATTTACATATGTCTCCTTTTTCCCTGATTGACCGCCCCCCCTGCCACTCCCACCCCTGAGGGCAATCCCCCACCGCTCCAGTGTCTCATTGGTTGATTCTTGTATGTGCCCTAACTAGGGATTGAACCTGCAACCTTGGCATATCAGGATGATGCTCTAACCAACTGAGCTACCCGGCAAGGACGGGGATAATAATTTTGATGGGTTTTCTTAACTGTTCCCTGGCTTTGGGACAAGGCTTATAGGATATATGTTTTTTTCTTTAACTTTGAAATATTGATTTGATAATAAGATAGTTTTGGACTTCGAAATTTGAAGTGTAATTAGAAATGGGATAGTTATACAATCAAGTCATTCACAAATAGTGGTGCTACAATGTGGTTATGCCCATCAAAATGGTGGGATTTCACACAGTGGAAAGTAAAATTGATGAATTGATCAAAGTGCTGGGTTTTGCAACTCTAGTTTTTTATTCAATAGATACCTGAGGGCCTGCTATTTGAGGTAGTAAGCATTGAATTAGAAATATAAAGAAAAGATACTGAAAATGTTTGATCTGAAAGTAATATAGACCAATGTACATTAAAAATAATAGACCAATGGAAGTAACCATCTCAAGGTTAAAGTGTAAAGTTTGGGTCAGAAATGATCTAGATGCCTGGATGATGGTAAAAATAAAGATGTATACAAATCCATGTGTATGCTTCCCTCTTAGTACATTATTTGTAATAATACAGAGACCATTGTTGAGCATTTTGAACATCTACAATGCTATAATGAATGGTCTATCATATTTTTAATTGCAAATAATTAAATACAAACTATTGGGATGGTTAAGGAAGCCTTACCATGTCCAAGAAAACAGGAGGTCACAAGGGAGGTAAATTAGGGCTGGGATTCCGAGTGCCAGGCAGGGCTGTGCCATCACGTCCTGCGTGGAGGGAGGTGGACCTTCAATGGCTTCACATCTTCACGTCTCCAGGAGTCTTCTCCCTGCACCCCCCTCCCTGTTCCGCAGTAACGTGTCCTCTTCTGCCTGTTGACACCAGGTTCACGGCTGGTGTGATAAACAGGGAGAGGATGGCTTCCTTTGAGAGGCTGCTGTGGCGAGTTTGCCGAGGAAACATCTACTTGAAGTTCAGTGAGATGGACACAGTTCTGGAGGATCCCGTCACAGTGGGTATCTCAGGCTGCAGATAACTTCCTCCTAAATTCCCTGTAGCCCTCGCCAGAGGGCTTGCATCCCTGCAGACACCGAGTCTTTAGTTCTGTGAAGCCAATATCTATTCCCTTGCTTTCTCTTTTCTTTTTTTCTACCTTTGAAAGGTCAAGAACTGATTCTTCCTAACACCGCATTCCTTCAAGAAACTTAGCTATACCAGTTTCTAGAAACTTAGCTATACTCCTTCCACACTAGGCAGCTGTGTCTTTTTGGTGGTGTTGTTGTCATGATTTAAAAAAAAAAATTGGTTTGAGAGAGAGCAGAGGAAAGAGAGAGAGAGAGAGAGAGAGAGAGAGAGAGAGAGAGACATCACTTTGTTGTTCCACTTATTTATGCATTCATTGGTTGCTTCCTATATGTGCCCTGACCAGAGATAGAACCTGCAACCGTGGTGTATCGGGGTGATGCTCTAACCAACTGAGCTACCCAGCCAGGCTGTCTCTTAATCACAAAGAACTAAACTGATTTAGGTCAGTGTGCACATGAGCATAAGAATGACTTGGGGGCCCTAACCGGTTTGGCTCAGTGGATAGAGCATCGGCCTGCAGACTGAAGGGTCCCAGGTTCGATTCCGGTCAAGGGCATGTACCTTGGTTGCCTGCACATCCCCAGTAGGAGATGTGTAGGAGGCAGCTGATCGATGTTTCTCTCTCATCGATGTTTCTAACTCTCTACCCCTCGCCCTTCCTCTCTGTAAAAAATCAATAAAATATATTTAAAAAGAATGACTTGGGGGCCTAGCTGGTGTTGCTAAGTGGTTAGAGTGACAGCCCACAGATGGAAGTGTTGTAGGTTCGATTACTGGTCAAGGGTGAGTACCTGGGGTGCGGGTTCAATCCCCCGACATCGTCATGCATGTAGATTTTTATTTTCTTTTGAATTGCTTCCAGGATAGGAATTCAAGGAAATAGGGTTGCTGGCTCTAAGGGTTGTGGGCATTTTTTGTGACACTGGCTGGGACCTGACAGATGGTTTCTCAGGGAGGGGGTCGTACCTGATTCCAGTGCCCAAGTGGTATGTGACGAGTTTGTTGGGTTTATTGCAACTTTTCCAACAATGGGCTCCATAATTTTGCCTTGACTGCCCTCCACCCTGAATGAAATAAGAGCAAAAGAGCACATTTCTTTGCTTAAAGTAACATTTTCATATATGCTTATGAACTATATATTCTCCCTTTCTTGTGACTTTTCAAACTTGGACTTTTAAGATGCATCTTAGGCAGGCGGTTGCGGCTTGTTTAGCCATGGCCAAAATTAGGGCTCGAGACCTTCATGGCAAGAAGGACAAGTTGCTCAAACAGCTGGCCGGCCTGAAAGTGGAGCTGTCCCAACTGCCAGAGCCAAAGGCGCTGCTCCCACGCTTCCTAAGATCCCAGTTGTTCACAAATCTGTCGCCCGCGTTCTTACTGTCATTAACCGGACTCAGAAAGGGACCCTCAGGAAATTCTACAAGGGCAAGAAGTGCAAGCCCCTGGGTCTGTGGCCCAAGAAAACACAAACCATGTGCCGCGGCTCAGCAGCATGAAGGGAACCTGAAGACCAAGAAGCAGCCGCGCACTGGAGCTCCAGTGGCGCAATCGGTTAGCGCGTGGTACTTATAAGAAGCAGCCGCGCAGAAGGAGCAGCGGTACCCACTGCGCAAGTCCAAGGTCCAGGCCTGAGCATCATCAAGGCTTGAGCATCGTCAAGGCCTGAGCATCGTCAAGGCCTGAGCATCATCAAGGCCTGAGCATCGCGGCATCAATAAAGCACAAACTGGCTGACGTTGCTTTGTGTTTGCAGTTGTTTCAGCTAACTGTGCTGGAGAGCCGGGCTGGGAGGCGCAGGTGTCTGATAAATTTGGGCAGGCCTGCCAGTCGCTGTTTCAACCTGGTATGGGGCCCTGGCAGTCCTGGCTGCAAGGATCTGTTGGGTGCTCTGGTGTGGTGACTTGGGGCCTGGAGCGTGGAACTGCCCTGACGATCCTTTCTGCCAGCGCCATGGGTGCTGGGCAGGGAGAGGCTGGGAGTTTTCTGAGAGCCATGTGCGGTGATGTTATATCGGAGAGGCCCTGGGTGGCTTATCATGCAGTGGATTTGGCGTCTTGCCTAGTCAGCAGCTCCAGACACTCTAAAGTTGCCCATCTGGGGTGAAGGTGCAAGCCTGGGCCACATCCGGGCTCCCTGCCAAAAACACGTCATTGGGCTGTGAGGATGCAAGATCTGCCTTAGCCCGGCTTCCTGGTACGCCTTCCACTGCGCCCTGGGATGCTAACGCCACGGGCCTTACCTGCAGAGTTTCAATGCACTTGCCTGTGTTGCAGTCCCAGACTTTGATCTGCAATAGAAACAAGCAGACAGGCAAAAGAAAAGATGCATTTTAATCAGTGTTCTTATGGATGTACAGTGAGTAACTGTGAGTCCAACATTAGACACGGCTTTACCTTTGTTAAATATCAAGCACTCACTCGCCCCTGAAATGCCTGTGTGGGAGTTAACCCTGGGGAGCTAGGTCAGCTCTTTTCATGTTAAGCCTTGCAATATCCTGGCGACCCTCTTCTGGATGCTTCCTTGTTTATTAATACATCTCTTTAAGTAGAGGGCTCAGAGCTGAGTACAAGGCCCAGCTGTGATCCAACTAGTGTAGCCGATAGTGGAACTCTCTGTCCCCTTAAGACTGCACTGGCCTCCCTGCTGGACCTGTACAGCCTGCCTCGGTGGCCTTGCCCTCAACCATAATGAATTACAAACTTGGACCAACTGGGAGAAATGGAGGTTTTTCAACTTTAAATTTATATATATTTTAAAACCTAAAAACAGAACTTAACATTTTTATTATAATGTAACCAGAAAGAAAAGCTCATTTTTTTTTCTCCTCGTTCTGATTTTCCAGAAAGAAGAAATGAAAAAGAACATGTTCATCATATTTTATCAAGGAGAGCAGCTCAGGCAGAAGATCAGGAAGATCTGCGAGGGGTAAGGGAGGCGGGCAGTGGCTCCGTCACCAGCGCCGTGGGGCGGGGTGAGGCCAGAGGTGTGTGATGCGAAATGCACCATGGGGGCTCTTTGAGGTCCGTTTAGGGATTTAGAATAACTTTCCCACATTTGATAAGAGAGTGTGAAGAATGTAACTGACCCTTAATAGCTGTGGAAATAGGAACAGAGAGGACTTAAAGGGGCAAAATTTAAAGGTAACTAAAAGTGGATCCTTTTAACCATTGCAGTTTATCCCAGCTCACAGGCAAACCACGTGCTAAGCTGTTTCTAACGTTACAGAATCATCTCATATCCAGCCCCTTAGAAGCAGAAATTACTCAGTAAAGAAGGACATTAATGCATTAATAGATTCTGGGGGGGCAAAAAGGGGGCAAGTTAAGCTTATGGTTTTGTTTACATAACAGCTCACAGGCTTTATGGTTTGAAAGAAGCTCATTCCTATAGTGTGAGCCGTGTGTTGGGAAGCCTTCTAAAGGGGGTTCATTTATAGACGGCCACGGAGAAGGTTAGTCTGGGAAAAGGTGTTGCCTCACCAAAGCCAGCAAATAGTGACTTAGCAGAAGAGGGTGTGCAGAGTGCTTTGGAGCGATAACCACGTGTCCATTGGATGCATTACACACAGGTTTCGAGCCACCATTTACCCCTGCCCAGAGCCTGCGGCGGAGCGCAAGGAGATGCTGGCTGGTATCAACACGAGGCTGGAAGATTTAGTCACCGTGAGTGAGGGCTTCAGGCACGTTCTCTGAGGGGCACTGCGGCGGGGCCACCTCTGCCATTGCCGAATCAGTCCTGTCCTCTGGGGCCCTTGCTGGAAGCTGGCTGGGAGGCTTGCTGTGCCCTTGTAGCTCCTGGTGCAGAAGATTTCATAATTAAGAGGCTGTTTCATAGGCTAGAGGTGATGACTCTTCATGTCAGTAATATTTTGCCTGGAGTTAGAACTGACCACAGCTCGGCCTCATCTATGGTACAACCAACTAGCCAATGAAGTCGAACAACCAGCCTGACCAATTCTTTTGCTGCTGAATTGCCCAGTTGTTGTAAAGTCTGTCGTCACCCACAGTGGCGCTCAGCGCTTTCATGATTAGAATACTTTCTTTAAGACGCTTTGAAAGTGATCTCTAAGAGCAGCTGATCCCACATCGTATTGTGAACTCTACATCGGTGCTGCCCAACAGGACTTCTGTGGTGGTGGAAATGTTACATATATAACCCGCAGGAGCCAAGCGCCCATGTGACCTTGGAGCCCTTGGAACATGGCTTGTGATTTAAATTCTTGTAGCTCCATGTGGCTGATGTATTGGTCAGCACGGTTCTAGATCCTCAATGCTGTCCTTAGACATTGGGTGTGTGTGTGTTTCCAAACTCTTAGGCTAACAGGCATCTTCACCCTCCTAGAAAAATCTGTTGGCATTCCTTGGTGTGTAGATGCGTCACTCCAGTCTCTGCCTCCATCATACAGGTGTTCTCTGTGTACCCCATTGTCCAAATTTCTTATAAGGACACCAGTCATATTCAGTAGGCCCACCCCCTCAGGTATGACCTCATCTTAATTGCATCTGCGAAGACCCCATTTCCAAATAAGATCAACTTTCACAGTTACCAGGGATTAGGACATTAACATATGTTTTTGGGAGACAGGATTTAACACATAACAATAGTACTAGAAGGAATTTAGAAGAAAAGGAAGAATTCTGCCTAAGAGTTTTAACCTCTAGGAGGGGAGATACACTGCTCATGAGAGTTCAAGGCCAGGTGAGAGCCACAGGCCAGAGGAGGGAGTCCAGAGTAAAGGAAGCCACTGCAGCTGGTGAACCCCCATTCCGGCCACATTGCCAGACATTTCATGAGTGTCCCTTGTTTTTTGTGTGTTGCTTTTTGCCCAGGTTATAACACAAACGGAGTCTCACCGTCAGAGCCTCCTGCAGGAAGCGGCTGCCAACTGGCACTCCTGGGTGGTCAAGGTGCAGAAGATGAAGGCCATTTACCACATCCTGAACATGTGCAACATCGATGTCACCCAGCAGTGCATCATCGCTGAGATCTGGTTCCCGGTGGCAGACACCGGGGCGCATCAAGAAGGCGTTGGAGCAAGGCATGGTGAGTGGCAGGCGGAGCAGGGAAGGGGGAAGATGAGTCACATTCAGCCTCGGCAGCCCCCCTCCGGGCACTGAGAGGTGGTCAGGCTCCTGAGTCACGTGAACTTCACAAGTGACTTGCTGGTAGGATGTCACCTTCGTCTTTGTATCTTCAGTTGTCACTGGTGGTAGGGCACATGGCAGAAACTCCTTTTCTCTCAGCGTTTGACAATTAGTCACCTTTTCTTTCATCTTCAGCAAGTGCATAGCGAGCATTACTGTGCCAGTCACCATGCTCATTATGACTGTGGCTCTCACATTCAGTGTGACTGTGGATACCATCCTCTACCTCATAACGGTCACAGTCTACCTGGACAGACAATAACCAGGCTCCTGTAATGACAGCCGACGGGAGTAGAAGGCTCCCTACATGCCGGGTCTCGCAGCGTTCGCCATTCATCTCTCTAACGTTCACGGTGCACCAGGAGCAGATGTAGGGCTGTGCTGTCACAAGGCCCTGCTCTGATGGACATCTGAGAAAGGGAGACGGACAGTCAGCATGTCCATCATTAGTGGATTCCAGGCTGTGATCCATGGTGGGCAGAAGTGAGGCAGGGGATGGTGAGGGGTGGGGTGGAGGCTTGTTCTTACACCTAGTCACCCTATTGGTGAAGAACGGACCCTCTGCCCTAAAGAGTACCAGGTGACCAAACACAGGACACCTGGCACTGGACAGATGAGATTGGCAGCAGTTTACTAGTCACATATGCTCGTAGCCCCAGGGAGGACACTGCATGCCACACAGGGCCACAGGGAGGCTGCACTTGGGGCCGGTACTTGGAAGCAGAGTGAACCAGCAGGGGCTGTGGGAGGCAGGCTGTGTAGTCACAACAGGGTCGGGTGAGCCCTGGTTTCCATGGGAGGGTGTGATTAGCTCGTTTGAATAATTTTCTGGGAAGTGAAACTCATTAGGTTGACTACGAGGCAGTGGTCTGGTCTGGCTGAGGGACAGTGGTAGCCCTTGCCTGCTAAGTGGATGGTATATCCGGTGAGACCAGAGGAACTCATGGCTTGACCTTTGGGGCCCTGTGAGATGCAACGATGTCAAGGCAGCGCTTGAGTTCTTAGGTCTTACAGGGCTGTGACAGGGCTGCTGGACAGGGCCCCTCTGAAAGCCAGCATCGGAGCAGACTTCCCTAAATGCCATGGGAAGCCTGGAGTGAGTGGGAGAAAGAGCGTTCAGGCTGAGGGATCCGAAGGTAAAGGCCTTGAGGTGGGATGGGACTAAGAGATAGGAACTGTCTTTATCTCCCTTTTTTTTAAAAAAAAATATATATTTTATTGATTTTTTACAGAGAGGAAGGGAGAGGGATAGAGAGTTAGAAACATCGATGAGAGAGAAACATCGATCAGCTGCCTCCTGCACACTCCCTACTGGGGATGTGCCCGCAACCAAGGTACATGCCCTTGACCGGAATCAAACCTGGGACCCTTGAGTCCGCAGGCTGACGCTCTATCCACTGAGCCAAACCGGTTAGGGCTGTCTTTATCTCCTTTATACAGATGAGAAAACTGAGGCATAGAGAGTGGAAGTAACTTGGCTGTGATCCTGTAGCCAGGAGGCAGGATTTGAATGTCCTCACATGATGGTCCAATAACTCCCCACATGGGGCACCTACAAAGAGGGTTTCACCCAGGCTGGGAAGGGCAGGGGGCTCCCTGGAGGAAGTGATGCATGAGCTGGACTGGGGAAGCGTGGTCAGAAGAGAGGTGGGAGGAGTGTGCGGTGCTGGCCCACCTGCAGACCAGTGGCTGGGGAGAGGGTGCAGCAGCTGAAGGAATGGGAAGAAGGTCAGGGAGAGGCTGCAGAGCAGTTCCTGACGGACCTCATGGTGGTGTAAGGGAGCTGATCTTATTCCCGTGCTGGGTGACATGATCCAGGTTGCATTTAAGAAGCATGTGGCTGTAGTGTGGAGAAGACGGTCAAGCCTCCGGGGAGGAGTTGTCCGAATGCAAGGATTTCACTGAACAATGTTGCTCTGTAATCACAAAGGGGTCAGACTTCTACAAGGCCTCCTTACGGCTATTTCTACAGTTTCTCCATCCTCTGAAATAATCAAAGTATTTCCCCAGATAGGAGTAGAAGGCTCTATGCTGGTAGGAGGTGAGGAGACAAGTGTAGGAAGATAGCTATTATTATCACCAATGAGCAAAAAATACGTAGGCTACGCTAATACTATGTCTGCTGCTGGAGGACATGTTAGAAAAAAAGGAGGAAGCCACAGTCCTTGACCTCAAGGAGGTCATAATCGCACAGATGAAAACATATATCATCATAGAGTAAGGAACTCTTCTACTTGCATGTAAGCTTGGGAAAGTTACTTAACCTTGCTCTACCTTCGTGTCCTCATCTCTAAAGTGGGGCATTGTTAGGAGGACTGACGAGCACTCACTTCGCTGGTGCTAAGCCCCACTGGGTGTGCAGGTGGTGAGTGCTGTTGGGTTAGGAGTGACCAGAAGGTTCCTGGGGGGTGAGCTTGGAGAGTGGTCCCTACTTGGGAAAGTGAACAAGGGAGGTGGCTACTGTGGAGTTGGGTGATTTCCACAGAGAAGCAGTGAGGGGGGGGGGGTGTGAATGGAGGATTAGTCAGCTATGTAAAGAAGTCTTGATTACAAGGCTAAAGAGTTCTGGCTTTCTTCTTTAGGTAAGAGGAAGCCTTTGAGGATTTTTGAGCAGGAAGGTAACATGACTAAAGTAGTGCGTTTTGTTTGTTTTGTTTTATTAAAAGAAGGATTATGCAGTCTGGAGTGTAAGATAAATGGGAGGGAAAGAGATGGAGGACGGGGAGGCTGGGGCTTGGCTGGTGGCTGTGGGAATGGGAGGGAGAGGATTGGAAAGGGACAATTAGCAAGATCTGGAGACTGGTGATTAAATCAGGAGAAGGGAAAAGTCTGCGGATTTCAAAGTTTCAAGAATTTGGAGAATGGAGACTGTCGAAGGAACAGCCTGACTTTAGGGCAAGCTGATGAGCCCAGTTCTAGGCTCCTGGATTATGTGGGGTTGCTGAGACAGGAGAGTTTGAAAGCCTAGGCAGGCAATGAAAAAATCGAAATTTTCAAGAGGGTCAAGGCCATTTGAAAGATTGAAACAAAATTCGGAAAGTGGATGAGCTCTTGGGGGGAGTAAGTAAAGAGAAAGGAAGAGGAGAGCCAGCCCCAGAACAGAGGCGTAAATATGCATTTCAGGAGCAGGAGACTGCAGATCGCCAGGGGAGCAGGAGGAATTCTACTTTCTGACAGCTCTCCTGTCAGAGAGGTTACATGAGTATTAGGAAGGTTTTCAATTTCATGGGAGAGATCGTGAGTCTCAGAGACGTCAAGAGATTATCCCACGTCCACCCAGTAAGTGATGGCAAGAGTTGCCCTGTGATCCACGTGCTGGTCCCCAGCCCAAGGCTCTCCTCCTTACATTTTTGTCACATGTTCTTTCTTGCAGGAACTAAGCGGCTCCTCCATGGCCCCTATCTTGACAGCAGTGCAATCTAAAACAGCTCCTCCCACGTTTAACAGGACCAATAAATTCACTGCCGGCTTCCAGAATATTGTAGATGCATATGGTGTAGGCAATTACCGGGAGATAAACCCAGGTAAGGTGTCTGATACGTTACCTGCCTGAGCAGCTTGAAAATGAAAATTGGGTAAGATTCACCCCCAAGGTGGCAACCTAGCAGGTGAATTACTTAAAACTGTGACTTTCCTAAAATCATATTTGTTTTTTTGAATGCTCTGCATTGTCTTCTGTAAAGGTGATTAGTGAAAGATTTGTTCCTTGTCAAGATTTCACCTCTTCTCCCTTAAACCATGGGTCCTCAAACTTTTTAAACAGGGGGCCAGTTCACTGTCCCTCAGACCGTTGGAGGGCCGGACTGTAGTTTAAAAAAAAACTATGAACAAATTCCTATGCACACTGCACATATCTTATTTTGAAGTAAAAAAACAAAATGGGAACAAATACAATATTTGTATTTGCATGTGGCCCGCGGGCCGTAGTTTGAGTACCTCTGCAACTGTAGCCTTATCAGGCAGCCAAATTCGGTTCTTGTTTGTTTAACAATTCAATGAGGGTCATCTCTAGGCATCTCCACAATCTCATAGTTGTGTGGGAGAGATGGGAACACACAGAATGTGGAGTCAGAAGCCTGGATTCCTAGTGATATAAACTGTGATGTTGGTGGCCTGGTTTATAAAATAAAGGGGTAGACCAGATGCCTATTAGCCAAGCAGTGCATGATGCTGTTCTTGTCCAGCCTGTGTCCCAATCTAATTTGTGACCCATAATGCAGGGCCCCATAAGTGAGTAACTGCTGGAGGTCTGTGGTACATGTGAATGGTGGAGAAACAAGCAGGAGATGGTAGTGGAAAGAGCATAGAAAGCACGTAGAAAACGGATTTTAAATCCCATTAAACTTTGTGATCTTGGGCAAGTCACTTAACCGCCCCCCAACTCAGCTCATCTGTAAAGTGGAGAATAATAGTGTTTGTCCACTGATGAGCTCATGTATGTGGGAGCCAAGCAAGTGTCAGGGGTGCGAATACTGAGAGCTGACAGAATCAGAAAGGCACAAGGGAGCCAGCTTATCACAAGGAGCGTAATAGACCAACAGTCGGGGAGCCCACAGGACAGTGGGGAAGACTCAGGCTGTTGTGGTTCTCACCTCTGCAGCTCCCTATACCATCATCACTTTCCCCTTCCTGTTTGCCGTGATGTTTGGAGACTGTGGTCACGGAACCGTGATGCTCCTGGCTGCCCTTTGGATGGTCCGTAATGAGAGACGTTTCCTCGCCCAGAAGACGGACAATGAGGTGGGCGTCCATCAAATGTCCCCCCTCATTTCCTCAAATGTTCTTAAAGTGTGAATGTTGTTTTGCCATAGGAATAGCATGTTCTTATGAGAAGGGGAAAAATGGAAAGTGAAAAAGAGCCAAAACAACATAAACACTAGGCCTTCCCTGAGCTTGTCAGGTTAGCATGTGGTCCCTTTTCATCCACAGTCCTTGGATGGTTTGGTGCAGTGCCTTTTAGCATTTTCGTTTTTTTGTACATTGCTCGGCAAGGCATTGATCTTTCCTTTTTTTTTCTTTTTTACTAATATTGATTTTTTTCTTTGATTATAAAAACAATATATGTTCATTGTAAAAATTGAGAAAATATAGCCATCTACTTAGAAAAAAATTACAATGAGTGTTTCTGTATTACCTTTCTAGTTTCCTTTCTATGCTTAGACAAAAATATATAATTTTAGAAATTGGGATCAAATAGTGCATATTAATTTGTAGCCTCCTTTTTTTCACTTAAAATAGCACAAATAATTTTCATGGCAGAGCCCTTTCCCCACAAGCCCACGCTCAGTGTTCTTCTGAAACACAGACATCCGAACACCATGTCTTCACTTTCACACTTGAAGTTCTATACCTTCCATGAAGTTCCCTCACAGAGCGATGTGAAGGTTGAGACAACTCAAGAGTTGCATTGTTTCAAAGTTAACCAGCTGATGTCACTTTGTGGCCGCTGATATTGCATTTTACAAAGTGCAAACATGCCTTTAGCTTATGTTCTGAATTTTATCTGCAATCTATTTTTTACAGGTTGACTTAACTAGAGCTAATTCAGTGATGTCAGAGTGAGTTAATCATAAGCAAGATTAGTGATAAATCAACCTATGACCAATACAGTTTTTCATGACAAGCAGTTTATTTAGAGAGAGAGGAAGGGAGAGAGAGGAAGAGTGAAAGAAACATTGATTTGTTGTCCCACTTATTTATGCATTCTTTGGTTGATTCTTGTACATGCCCCAACCTGGGGTTGAACCCACAACCTTATCATTTCGGGATGAAGCTCCAACCAACTGAGCAACCTGGCCAGGGCTCATGACAAGCATTTTAATAGATGTAGTTTCCTGTAATAAATATTTGAAGTCTGCAAGTCCACTCAGCGGTTCTGATGGTTGTTGCACATCCTGCAGTATCGGGAGAAAGCACTTTCTCTTCTTAGTGGATGTACTTAGAAACTCAACTTTTAATGGAGACCCCCCCCCCTACCCCCCGCAAAGGAGTATAGATTTGATTTGCCGTAAAATTTAGCAGCCAGCTCAGTGCTTACCTCCTGGAGACACAGCCACCCACTTTCAAGTCCCCCTTTTCACAGGTGAGGCCTCAGTTTCTGCTTTAATCACATTTTCTAACCAAGGCTGAATCCAAGCATATGAGGCCTCTATGCTTGTTTCCACAATAGCAACGACCAGTCGAGGACTTTTCAGAGTCACCTGTAGAAGCTCAGGAAAATCATGATGTGTGTGCTCTTGCTATCTGGGCCACTTTGGTGCCTGCCTGGTCGCGTGGCCCCTCTGCATAGGGCCTGCGTGCCTTGCTGTGGAGAGACCTGATCACACACTGGCTCAGAGCTCACTGACAGTCCTCTCTGTCTCCCCGAGGCCAGATCTGGAACACCTTCTTCCAGGGGCGCTACCTCATCCTCCTCATGGGCATCTTCTCCATTTACACGGGCTTCATTTACAACGACTGCTTCTCCAAGGCTTTCAACATCTTCGGCTCTTCTTGGAGCGTCCGACCCATGTTCAGAAATGGCACATGGAAGTAAGTTCACAGACAGGGACGGGTTGTTCCCTGGCCATCTATGGCTGAGCAAATCTACGCCTGGCTCGGCCCAGAGGTGTACCCACAAATTCAACAAATAATGCCTTTTTCTCAACTGAGCGTGAGACCTTGTGCCACTTCCTCAGTAACTGTGCTGGTAACTGTAACACATGGAAATAGTTTTTAAAACTTTAGCTCAACTGCCCGGCTGGCGTGGCTCAGTGGCTGAGTGTCGACCCATGAACCAGGAGGTCACGGTTTGATTCCCGGTCAGGGCACATGTCTGGGTTGAGGGCTCGATCCACAGCATGAGACAGCCCATCAGTGGTTCTCTCTCATCATTGATATTTCTACCTCTCCCTTCCTCTCTGAAATCAATAAAAATATATTTTTTTAAAAAAAAAGAAGAAAGGACTGACTTACAGGATTTGGCCTCTAAGAGGATAAAGGTTATCTCTGGTCATTTTTGTGATTTGGACAATGTCCTTCTGTTGCTATGTCCATATTCTGATATCAGATATGGTTGTGGAATGGTCTTGCTTTTGTCTAGATCCATCGCAGTCACAGGATGGCCTTGTCTGATGTTGGTGTTCTGTGAAATTGTTTATGCTCAACAGCAGGCTTAGCTGTGGGTACCCGGCCAGTTCTCTCTCGTCAGGGGTGGCTTTCTGGTTTGTGGACACACAAACACGCCTCTGCTAGTGAAATCCAACCACTTGCCCTGAGGCGTGTTGTTAGGACTGTGTGTGTCTAGGGTGGCCAGGGATCTATTTCTGTAGACTCCTTCATCCCTACCCCTACCTTTTTTCTGATGTAGTTTATACATTGAGTGGCCAGATTATTATGACCACCTGACGTTTGTAGGCAAATTAGCTATAATTTCGCGCTGAAGTTGCTAGAGGGCCAGACCATTATAAATAGGGAAGCAGGTTGTTTACCACGACAGTAGAAGTGATTTTTTTCTGAAGATATGGGTAAACAACGCGATTTAACAGCCTTTGAACGTGGGATATATTTGAACGTGAGTGGCCAGATTATTATGACCACCCCATCAGTACTTCGTTGGGCCACCTTTTGCCCTCAATACTGCGGCGATTCTTCTTGGCATTGACTCCACGAGATGTTGAAAGATGATGCAAGGAATCTGACACCATGCCTGATGAATAGCACTGTCCAGTTCTGTGAGATTTGATGGTTGTGGAACCAGCTGCCTGATGGCTCTTTTAACTTCGTCCCACAAATGTTCGATCGGATTGAGATCTGGTGATTGTGGGGGTCACCTAAGCAAGGTAAAGTCTCCCTCATGTTCTTGAAACCACTCCTGCACAACACGAGCACCATGGCATGGCACATTGTCTTGTTCGAAGAAGCCATCTCCATTGGGATACGCCATCAACATGATAGGATGAACTTGATCAGCAACGATACTTAGGTATGTTGTGCTATTCAGATGAATTAAAGGGCCCAAATCATGCCAGAAAAACATGCCCCAAACCATAACATTGCCCCCACCAGCTTGAAGGGTTGTACTCATGCATGTGGGATGTATGCTTTCATGCTGTTTCTGTCAAATTCTCACTCTGCCATCTGCATGATGCAACTGGAAACGTGATTCATCGGACCACATGACTTTTTGCCAATGCTTGACTGTCCAATCCTTGTGTTCCTGTGCGAATTGGAGACGTTTTATCTTGGTAACTGTAGACAGCAAAGGTGTTCGAACAGGCCTTCAGCTTCCATATCCCATATGATGCAGTGTATGGCTAATTTGCCTACACATGTCGTCAGGTGGTCATAATAATCTGGCCACTCAGTGTATATATATCATTATATCATTATATAGTCACCAGGAAAGAGGTTTCAAAATAGATTCAGCAGTGACTAGGACAGTTATCAGGATGAATTATAATGAATTCTGGCTTTGGCAATACATTTGTTCAACAAGCATTTACTGAGTGCCTGTCATGGTCCAAGCACTCTGCTAGATATTAAAGGGCCAAACTGGGTCTCTGGGAACAAATGACCCATTGGCCGACACTGGGCCTATGCACCTGGACTCTAGCAAGATCTCTGCAGCCTGGCCCTCAACATTCCAACCACATCTGGGCTCTGACCCTGCCTGGATCTGTGGCCCTGAAAAAGGCTGGCCTCACCTTTCTAGTTCCAGCCACCTCATTTGTAAAACAAGGATAATCCTGACCCAGTTTGCAGCACTGTGGTGAAGAATAAGTGAAAAGCATTCTGGGCTTGTTTTAATCTATTCAGTGCCAGATGGATTCTACCCGGTAATAATCAGTGTTGCTTCCTTCCGTAGGAAATTGCATATTCTTAAAGAAAAAGTAAAGGGGTGGAGATGAGGTTCAGTGATTAAAGGGATATTCTGTATTTTTCTTCCTCAGAATATCCAAATTAACAATTACAGAAATGAATACCTGTTTCTAAGCCTCAGACAAGAGCAGAGGGAACTCAAAGTTCCCGCAAAGGATAGGTAACATTCCCAAGGACAAAACTGGGTGAGATGCTGCAAATCTTTAGGGAAATAATTCAATTACAATCAGTACTTCAAAAAATCTAATAAAAATTAACTTTCTCCCCCACCTCTTTCTTTTTAGGAAAGGGTGATTTTTAAAAAAGCAATATTTAATATCAAATAATTGTCAATCCTATTTGTTAGTAATATTTTACTCTTTCTAAAAAGACCCATAGGACACTGAAAGAATTACCAACCATAATGTCTCCATTCAGACCTAAAAAGAACATCTCTCTTCTAAACGTGAACACATCTAGCAACATTGGGATACTT